CTCTCTCTCTCTCTCTCTATATATATATATATATATATATATATATATATATATATATATATATATATGCACACGCATACGTACACGCGCACACGCACGCACAAATATATAAGTTGTAATTTATAATATTTTGTAAATATCTTATAGCTTTCTTTATAGATTTGTAAATAACTTATAGATTTCTTTAACCTACTTGTACTTTATATAAATGTCCCATTTTTCATTATATTTATCTACACAAAATCTGCATCTATAGGCAATCCATTCATATGTGGCAAGTTTAATCAGGTCTTCAATCCACTACGTAAATTGAACCATACATTTTATCTTTCTAATGTTGCAAAATCAGTCTTTTAGCCATAGTGAAGTCATGGAATGTTGTTTGGTTGTCAAATTCCAAGTATGACTTGGAATGATTCTCAATCATCCAGGTCATAGTTGTCCCAAAGGTGATTTTTCAAGAGGCAACTTGACTTCCTTGTTTTTCTTAGAACACATTTTGCTCCTCATCCAAGCGCTACAGAAGTTTCTTGGACGAGAAGTGAAACATCTTCAGAGAAAAATAAGCAAGTCCAGTTGCCTCTTGAAAAAGCACCTTTGGGACTCCTAAGAATGAGGTACATAGTTCACAAGAATATTATCATCTGAAAATTTTAGCTTTTGTCACACAATTATATTTTTTTCTTTTTTCAAAAATTAGTAAGTATAGGATACTGCAAAAACACATCTTTTTAAGAAGCATTTTCCTCATTACATCTCCCAAAAATGTTGACAATACTTTTTTGTTCAAAAGTAATGAATCCCATAAATCTTATTTTAGTCGTATGAGTTATAGTTTAAGATCCATTGATACCCTTGCTATAAAGGTTAAAACACTATCCCATTGACTAGATGATATCTGATTCAAATGTTGTTGAAATATTATGTTAGGTTATATGAGGTCATATCTTTATAGGAGATCTACACGTCAACAACTGGCTTATGTTTCTGTGATTTGTAATCTATAAGCCTTGTACAACCTTTCTTTCAAATGCAACTTTTGGATATATTGCACTTTAATTTCCACTGTTCTATCAGTGAATTATTTCTTTATTTAATTCTTGTCTCTTGCATGATGCCATACATGATGTCTTTTGTTGTTTGTGTTAACCCCCTTCAGAAAACACCATTAATGGAAAATGTATTTGAACACATCCATAGAGTTGCGGACTTGTGGACTTGTTTAATCTCAAATATCATTTGTTCCAATTTCATTTGGAATAATGGTTTGACATCTAAATTGTGATAACTTGAGAACTTTTCAAAGATACATTGCATGTGTGAATAAAATAGTGCCAATTAAAGTTAAAGTAGACTGATGGATGACAGTAAAATCATTTTTCCAAAACTGTGCCTTCCCTTTAATCTAGTTTAAATGTGATAGACACATAATTTTTAGAGCAAAAGAGATATAATAACTGGATGCGTGCTGAGGTAGTTACATCATTTACGTTTCTTATAGAAACAGCAGAGAGGAACAAAAAGATGAGACGAAAAAAAGTCAAATAGCAGGAGATTATTATTATTATTATTATTTTGCATTTGGAATTATTTTTTTTCCCAAATGAAAAAATCCAGGCTATATAATTCCTCAGTCAGTTGCCCATTATTCTGAGCTCTTCTGCATCTCTGACTAACAATATAAATGATTATATTCCCTCTTAGGCAATTTGTAGAAAATAACAACCGATCTATTGAGGTGGAATTGATCTTTGACTCCATCACAGAAGCTGATTTTCATACTGATTTCAGATGTGTGGCACAAAACGTTGGTGGGAGTCGTATACAAACAGTGACAGTCAAGGAAAAAAAGAAAGGTTTGTGTAACAATTATGCTTATTACCATCTTTTTCTCATTATTATTTTTCCGATGACTCTGATAATGGCTATTCATTTTTGCATTTTGTAAATATAGAAAGAAAGTTCAGGAATAAACTGGCCAAAGGTCTGGAATAACTTATGATCAGGTCATGTTTATATTACATGATTTCTAATAAGTTGTTTTACTTTCAAATAATTACAATTTCTCTTGGCATGTTTCCAAAGAGGAGAGGAATTTATATGCATTCAAAATTTTCCAGTTTTGCCAAAGGTTATCCAACAATTTGCTTATTGCTATTATGTAATGGGTTTTGTAAATTCTCTCTGGAATCCATAACATACAGCTAATAAGCAAAACTTCTCAACCTATGCATCATGCAGATCACATAAGTTCCCCAGTAAATGCCACATCCCTACTCAGGCCATTGAATCTCATTTGGAGGGCTTCTTAGGTGAGCTTCTTCATACCAATCACAATGATTTTCATATGAAATCAGACATGGTTCCAATTTCCGTCCTACTTCACAAGGGGGGGCATTTTCCTTCATTGATGTGAAGAAGTAAGCTATACAAATAGCATTTACATTGACTCAAGTTAAGTGTTTGAGACCAGAGCAAGATATAATATACTATTTAAGGGTTCTCTCATTTACTATCTTCAAGCAAAGAATAACAATCATATCTCATGATTGAATATACTAGTTACAACATGGAAAATGAAATAGACAGAGAGAGGGGGGGAGGGAGGGAGGGAGAGAGGCTAACCTTTCCAAGATTTGTGGATAGGAAACTGATGTAAGAATCAGATTACTTTTAGTCAACAATTTTATTGAATTGAAATAAACATCCCACCAATACTTTCCCCAAGCTGGCTTGCTGAGTTCTTCTGAAAGTATTTGTTCAGTCCAATGTTTTGTGAGAACTCTAGTGTTCTGTTGGGCAATGGCTTAGTTTAGTTTACTTTATTGTCATTGCACCTCGTACAATGAAATCAAACACCATCTTCTGTGTACATCATGACCATGAAAATAAACACAAACACACATCCTACACACTCCACATATTGAACCGTAAACCCCCGACACTGCACCAACACTGCACTATAGAGTAGAATTCAAAAGAGCTACTGCCCTGGGATAGAAGCTGTTTTTCAGACTATTTACCCTTGTTTTTATTATCCTGTACCATCTGCCAGTAATTCAAAAAAAGGATGCCCAGGATGAGATGGATCTTTGAGAATGTTTTGAACTTTCTTAAGGCAGGGGGAGCTATAAACCTCTTCCAGAGAGGGGAGAGGGCAACCAATGATCTTTTGGGCAATGACATTAACCCTCTGGAGCGCTGTCCTATCTGCCACTGTGCAATTGGCGAACCATAAAGAGGGGCAGTAAGTTAAGATACTCTCTATGGTGCAGCTGTAGAAGGTCACCAGCAGTTTTTCATTCAGTTGTTGTTTTCTGAGAAGTCTCAGGTAGTATAATCTCTGCTGGGCCCTTTTGACCAGGGCTGCAATGTGAGCACCCCAGGTCAGGTCCTCTTTTAGGGTAACACCCAGAAACTTAAAACTGGCCACTTGCTCCACTTGGTCTCCATTGATAAGCAAGGGCTGGATGTCTGATCTGTTCTTTCTATAGTCCACTATAAGCTCCTTGGTCTTATTGGTGTTGAGGACCGAGTTATTGTCTCCATACCACGAAAGCAACCAATCTACCTCATCTCGGTAGGCAGACTCATCCCTCCTGGAGATGAGTCCCACCACTGTTGTATCATCTGCAAATTTAGCAATAGTATTACTAGCATGAGTGGGAATGCAGTCATGCACATAAAAGTATAGAGTAAGGGACTCAACATGCAACCCTGTGGTGTACCAGTGTTAAGAATAAGGGCTGAAGAGGTATGATTACCTAATCTGACCCTCTGTGAGCTTGCTCTATAACAGGTGCTCCCAACTAAGGGTGTGAGATGATATTCCAGAGGGTGAGAAAACTTGGGTTTAGACGCTTCAAAATTATAGTGTATAATTATATGCATATAATTATTTATTTTTAAGGGGTGCAAGAATATATCAGAAACATTCTAGGGGTGTGCAGTATAGAAAAGGTTGGGAAACCCTGCTCTATAATCTGTACACTAAAACATTGAAGGAATTTTATTTCAGTGGAAAATTTGTAGCAGCAAATGGAATTATCCCTTAATTCCATGTAAAATTGGCTTGGGAATTTCACAACCACATATGAATTGGGAGTTGGCAGAAATGCAAGAATGGGGAACATATGGGTCTTTGGGTGTCGTTGAACTGTAGCATAAATGTATCCCATTGTCGTCTGAAAAGTCATAGATTAGATCAAGTACGTTATATCCGTGCAACATGATAATTAAAAATATTGCACACTTTCAGAGCAAAGGTCAGCATTGAAGGGGTAAAAAGCTTGCAGTTTTTAGGGTTACATGCTTTTCAAAGCATCTGTCCTACCCTGTTTTAAAGCTGTGCACTGATTGTATATTCTTACAAAACTTAACCACATTTCTTTTTACTGCCATAAATATGACACATTGTTACTTTGTATTCCATCTGCTACTGATAAAACTTGTGTTTTTGGGAACCAGGGAGCTTAGAAAAACAATGATTTAACCAAACATAGTATGTTGTTTAATATTGATTCTTTCTTTCTTTCTTTCTTTCTTTCTTTCTTTCTTTCTTTCTTTC